CCCCCGAAGCCTGCTTGGGATGATATGGCTTGATCGCTGTTCGCCGGCGCTTTGTTCATTTCTGACGCTGTTTTCGACTTCCCTGTATCTGACACTGCTAGAAAACACTTTCGTTCTCGTAGATTACAGTTTGCGCTAGCTCCCCCTCTCCCTCTTTCGTTTGCTCTCTGGATCGGATAGTGTGTACTGTACTCTGTTGTATTCTGCCCTTGCTTTTGCTTTGGTTGACTTGGGATTCCTTTTTTTCACGATCTTTATTATGTACTTAGTTACGCTGAATACAATGGTGCTTTACGATCGCTCTGAGCATACTTGTTCATTGCAGGGGCAGACCTGCTTGCCTGAGGGATTGAGGTACGCATGGCACCAGCTGAGGCCTGCGTGGCGAAGACACAATGCCTACTCTTCCTCTTCCTCAAGACGATTGGACAAAGCCGGCTCCTCATCTTCATCCTGCTTTTCGTCACCTTCCTTCTCTGCTTTAGCACGCGCTCGTTTATTTGACTTCCGACCGTTCGTCTGTGTCGATTGTTTGGCAGCAGGAGGGCGTAGGTTTGCTAGAAGGCCCATGGCTTCATAGACGCATACACGAGGAATAATAAAACGTACCATGAATGACGGGCTGTAGGCCGTACATTCTGTAGAGGTGGAATACTGCTTGTTCCTTGTCCTTTGCCTGAGTATAGTGTCAGAGGATGTCGACATGGTATGAAGATAGTGTGCACCTCGATCATCAGATCTGAAAATTTCGTCCCATAAGTGAAATCCCTCAATCAAATTGAGAGTTTGGAGGCGCACCCATATCATCTGGTAGGTCGTCTGGAAGATTCTCGCATCTGTCCGCGTGGGCTCTCCGTTCCATCATCGTAACAGCACCAGGACGTGGTTCACTCAGATGCTGCTTTGGCTTGATACCTCGGCGGTCGAAAATGGTGTTGGCACGTTTGATGATTTCCTGGGGTGAGATCGAAGACGGATAGATGGCGTCGTGGTGATAATCTGCGCAGAATGGTCCTGTCAGTCGAGTCGTGAGGTGGCTAGCAGTTGCATTCACCAAAGACCAGAGGAACGTCTAGCTCTTCACAAACTTCTAGGAGTTCTTCGGCGTTGTAACACATCTGGAACTGTTGTCAGTGCAAATGCAAAGTAGAAGCAGCTTTCTCCTTACCTCGTCATTCTCCAGAACTAGTCGATTCCGCACATTTGTAGGAAGGTCGCGGATGGACTGTTTCAGACGTTCCAAGGTTGCCGTTTTATCGTCGTAGACGCCCCCACCCTTTGAATCTATATTAAACCATGACCCAGCATACCGAAAAACTTCGATTCCTCACATGGATAATCATGACACTATCGGGACCCATGCCCATTAGGTCCAGCATCTCGCAATGGTACGCAAGGTCGCGGCAAGCAGCTTCAACAACATCAGGCTTCGGACTTCCCAGCTGTATGTATTGGCCTGGGTGGACGGTCAGTCGATGACCGTATTTCCGTGCCAAGGCCCCAGCTTCCGCCAGGATGCCGGCGCAGTAATCAAGCGAGTAGCCATGGTCTGCGTGTGACGCGAATGGGAACATCTCTGAAGAAAGGCGAAAGAATCTGATGTTCTGTAGGTAGGTTAGGAATGTCCCAGCCGGGGGAGAGCTGACGCACATTGTCTTCGTTCCACTGGATAATGGCCTTTAGATCCCCGACGTTCTTTCTTCCGAAGTCCTTCAACCACTCAGCACCGTTTTTCTTGAGAGAATCTAATCTGCAGGAAAATATGTTATAAGCCCCCTTTTTTTACTTACAGGTCACATACCGGCAGGTTCTAGAACAAAAGATAGAATCTGTGGCTGGTTTCTTGTTTCGCAATACGGTGTTCAGGCAAGCGTAACCTAGAATTATGGCAGGTAAGATAGACTAAATGAGATCCACGAAACAGTCACATGCCTAGCCGTCCTTTGAATGTTGTTTCCTTCTTCTCGACGTCTGGAATTACGTAGACTGGCTCAGGTATGGGGGCCCTCTTTCTCTTGGGTTTCGCAGCGCCTTCGACGAATTCATCCCCCTCGTTTTGCGGAGAGGCTTTGGCCTTCTTTGATCTCTTTTTCTTCGGAGAAGGGAGTTCCAATGCCGCGGCTTCGTCAAACGCCGTTGCATTCACGGTGATTGCTTCTCCCTCAACCACAACTCCGCGAGTTTCGACGCGTTTGCGCTTGGAGACGCGACTAACTAGAGGTCCATCTGCTGAATATGTTTCTTGCACTTGGACACTACTTGCTGCTGCAGATAGGAGACGCCCACTCCGTCGCAACGTCTGGCCGACCTGGTTCAAGCTGGAGACAAGGCCGTCCGACATTCTGAAAGCTCTGCTGAAGGACCTATGAAGAAGGGCTTTCGAAATGAGGTGGAAAGGAGGCCGTGGTGGCATGAACAAGAGGGGTGAATTGGGTTCATGACTGGCATACAATTTGGTTAGAGGAGAAATGGAGAGCGGCCGATTCACTCCCAAGATCGAGATGGACGGGCCGGGCCGGGCTTTACAAATGCTCTCCTAGTTCAGCACACGACCAATAGATTGCATCACTTCCCTCTGACTATATTACATGCAGGCATACCAGCGCGAAAATCCAGCTGACTCAAAAGCTAAGTGCAAAAGCCGTTATTCGCCGACAGATCTGTCAATCCAAGCCTGTCAGCACTGAGCGACATTTGCTTCGTGGACAAAGCTCGAGTTCGGAGTGAGGAAAGAAAGGTGACTCACTTATTCCGAAATAGTTGAAATGGGTATTAGAGAAATGATTTGCGAACCCTTTGAGATAAGATAATTGTTTAGAGCTTAATAGAGGTAACTGCGACCTACAATTCGAACGGCTGCAATCACTGTCTTCACCCCCTGCATTGCATCTCGTCACCGTAGCCGGGGAAGCTGCACAGTGTAAAGAGATCAATTTCAATTGCTACGTCAGAAATTTCAAAATAGAGTGCTGACCTGGATCCTTGAAGTTCCAGTACTCTGTAGCACTGTGGAGGGTCTTGATTATTGGTGTTACCAGGAAGGGGTTCAGACTTACAAATGCCGATATCCCGTAATGGGGAGTAGAACAAGCGGCGCCCAGTCTACAATAAAGGAATAAATTTAAACAAGGTGGAGGTCACTCACGACGCGACGACGACGCTCACCATTTGTATGGACGGCTCGGAAGATGTTGTTCTCTCCAATCATGTTTTCCACATATGACGCAAAGTCGCCGTTGCCCACTCTTGGCTGTCCTGTCGCGAGCCGAGCCAGCGTCATAGACCCAACCGAATGCAATCCATAAACCGAAGAACCACATACCGTATGTGTACAGCACGACATTAGCTTGTGGAAGTGCTGACTTGACCACAAGCGCACCAAGGGACGCAACAGCACCACCCATCGAATGTCCGGTAAGGACGATCCGATAGGAGGGATACTCTGAAGCTTGCCTTGAAACCACCCCAAGCATGTCTTGACCGACGGCATTGAAGGCCGAAATGAAACCAGAGTGGGCTGTCGCAGAGCCAGCGTTACTGAGGCCGATGACCCCGTCTAGGGATTTCCGCCAGATAAGTAGGTCTGTGTGGCGAGAGGTTTGTCGAACGGGCAAGGAGACAGAGGCAAGTTGGACTCACCCTTGAGGATGTCGTCGAGCATATTCTCAGTGCCACGGAACGCTACGACAATCTCTTTTTTGTTGTCGTCACGAGCGACGAAGGCTTGGGTTCCGTGGTTGGAGAACTGACCGCGAAAGACATGGACTTGTAGTTTACTAGTGCAGTTATTGCCCAAATTCGGTTGAAACTCGCCTCCTTGATCAAAGCGTGCCCTAAGGGTCGTTGGCAGTGGTTCTAGTAAGCCGCGAACGAGTATTTCGTATACAGCACAAGCTGGTCATACGTCTGCTGGTCAATTCCCTGGAGTGTCGCCCTCGGCTCAAGCTTGAGGAGTGCAGAGATGGGGAACGCAAGGGCAGCCAACCAGTGGAGGGCAGCTGTGTTGAAAAGGATGAAGAATACAGAACGCATTGCTAATTGCTGCAGTGAGGAAAGTATGGCCTATCTTTTATACCTATGTATGCAGTGCCGAGCCATGATAAAAATCATAATTCCGGAGGTAGAGATCGTTCTCAAGCCATTATCATCGACCAAACAGTCGAAGGTGAGAGCCAGGATGCATCGTGGTTGATCATGCGAAGGCTCGGCAGTTCAAACAGTCAAAGCAGCTGACGGGGCGAACTTCGTTATCAGACGCTCTAAGAAAGAGACATACTGGAGGGAAGATTTCCGGCTCAGCAGCCCTTCACCCCAGTTCCCTTTGTGGGCCATGAAGTTTGAACACAGCACACGTCGCAAGCATCCCTGCCTCTGAACGTGACGCAGACCTAGTATCATAAGCATAATATAGCATTTGCAGAGTATGTTTCATCAAGACTCGCATTGAGGGTCAGTGGCAGTTCCTGGTCGCACGGCGGTTTTGCTGATTGAGGGAAGATTTAGAGAAGTATGAAGGCAGAGAAGGGATGTCATAGCGGTTCTTGGCATTAAGTGAGTTGAGAATAGTGCCAGTTCATCAGAAGGACGTCGAATTGAGTACAAGATGGGAGACGATGGTAGTTGCTCAGAATCAGTCGTTGTGAATCGATGAAGTCAAATCATGGGAGCGGGCCAGTGGGAGCCGCGGTTCACGCGTTCACGGCGGAGAAATTTCGTACAACCAATTTCGTACAACCTCCGCAAGCGCCTGAAGCTTCGAAGAACGAACGGACCACAACACGCCATACGTATTAGTTTGGATATAAGAGAGCACGAAGTTGACAAGGAGAGGCGCCGCGATGAGAGGACTCGGAAACCTAATTGCAAAAGCCATTATTCGCAGGTAAAACTGATAATGCAAACCTGTGAGCGAGATTTTGTCAACGCGTCAGGGAATTTGGAATATTTGACGTAGATCGCGTGGGCAGTTCGAAGGAAGTGGACGTCATCAGGAGGAACTAGGAAATCCACGCATCTTCCAGGAGGTTAGTTCGTGACCGTTGGTTGCTACAGCTGGCACAGTTACACACCGAAGCATGTATTGGCAAACGCGTCCATACGTGTTCTCGTCCACGAGACCAGTGATGTCTTCTATGATCTCCAATTCCTCAAGCAAATCCACTGCGTCTGGTTCGGCATTATGGCTCAACAGGAACACAGCACACTGCCTCGCCAAGTTGCGGAGATCGTCTATCGTCCCTGGAAGCTTGTCTTTTGGCTGGTTCTCCTTCTCAGCGTCGGGTTTTGTCTCTAGCTCTCCTTCTTCGCGCGCCGTGAATTCCTCCCCTAGTTCTGCGGCGATATGACGAACATATTCGTGTCCCCATGTTCCCGGATCAGCAAGGGGGGAGTCGACTGGTCGCAGAGAAGCGGATAGCAAGCGGTGGCTTGCCGGCCTGGCCAACGACGTCAATCGCCTGTCCGACACGCACCGTGACGGGCTTGTTCTTGAGGTTCTCATCGAGGGTGATGAAGAAGCGGGGATACATGGCAGGGGTAAGGAAGTATAGCATCCAGTGGTACTTGTCAAGAATAACTGGAGGAAGAAGAAAAAACGTCAGTTGGTTTCATAATATTCACAGGATTTGGTGTCCGTAAATGCAGTCAGCGTCGCCAGCAACCCAGCAACGGCAGGCCGGTTCATGATACTCCGATCACAGAAGAAGGGGTTAAGATCGAGCGTGTCCTTGCCCATATGCACCATACCCTGTGCAATACGGACCATGAACAGCGAGTCGGGTTCCTTCTGGTAGTATCCAGCTAGCTGCCTCAGCATCTGAGCTAGACGGGCGTTATTCGTGCCAGCACCAACAAGGCCCATCGCGAAGATCGCGTTGATCGCCACTGACAGGTCATTGTCGTGGCTGTACTTGGAGAGTGTGTCGAGGATGGGTAGTTGAGGGTTGGATGTGCTGACAAGGCCGATAGCGAGAGGGACTGCTTTTCGGATGACAGGCTCGCCATAGTGCATCTAAAATACGTAAAATACGGATTAATTTATGATGCAACAGCTAGAGTTCATGTACTCACCAGGTGGTTGAATTGACGCAGAGACATCTCAGCGCCAATATCCTCTCCAATCGCGATCAACGAGATGGCAAGAACGGCAAAGGCTTGGAAGGTGTCATCCTTCTTCGGCTCGTCCTTCTTCTCCTCCTTGTCGTCCTTCTTCGCGGCCGAGACACCGATATGCTCATCACATTGGTGCAACATGGATTGAATCTTCAAAACGTTGCCTGTTCCAGCGAAGGAGCACGCTTCGACCAAGATCTGAGCGGTTTGGGCTATTGGGTGGTCGATGGCCTTCAGAGTTTCGAGGGTGGCGTCTGACGCATCTTGCAAGCCTGATGCCGATATGAGTACGTAGGAGTGGAATACGCGCAAGAAGTGAATTCACCGAGATACAGAAGGCCAAGACCCAAGGCCATGAACCTTGCCCACTTCTCGTCTAGGGATTTGTCTGCCCGCTCGAACTTTTCCATCAGCGTTTGCAGGATTGTTTCCGAGATCTCTCCATGCTGACTGCCAACAAACACAAACCCAAGCGCCAACGCGGAAAGACTGGCAATCTCCATCGATACTGCGTCGTCGGCTATGTGCGGAAGGAGGAGAGGTAGGATTTCTTGTCGGTGCGTGCCGACGTACGCAAGGCCGAGGCCCATGATAGAGCTGGTCTTCAAAGAGATGGAGGGATTTGAGGTGTATTCGGAGAGCAGGTTGAGAGCGTAGTCAGCCTCTGTCCGGATGCCGGTGTTGAGCAGACCAGTGGCGAGGAGGGCTCCAGCTTTGATATGCTCTTCGGCGGAATAGGTGTATTTATCGATGTGGCTGATACCAACATCGACATCCCACAGCAGGCTCACGCCTAGCGATGCCGCGGCGCTCATCATGCCTTTGAAAAAGGAAAATTAGACAGACAGGGCGCCATTGAAGAAACGTTGACCTACCATGGTCCTTGTTCTTGTAGATCCAACTGTTGCCCTCCTCAGCCATCACCATCAACTTATCATTTCCGAAACCTGCATTCACAAATGCGTTCACGAAAGTTCCTGCCAAGTTGCCACGAGCAGAGTCGATGTTCGCGGAAATTCCTGGTCCTGCACATGAAGGCCACTGAGATTGGCCAAGGGTTGTTCCAAACAGAAATACTGACTTGTGTTCTCCAAGTGCGATTTGTAGACATCCTCCAGGTTCTTTGCATCCTCAACGCCGAGTTCCTTACCGAAATCGCGGAAGTGTTCGCTGAGCTTCGCGTTGAAAAGACAGTCTTGGAGATCGCTCTCGAACGAATCTTCAGCCTCGTCTTCGGTTAGTGGGATCTGCAGCCACTCCAGAGGAATTTGTGCTCGAGCAATGAGGAATGCAAGTTGGCGTTTCATTAGCCTACAAAGAAGCCGGTCAGAATTAAGGAATATCTTCCGAAAGAAAGTGCTTACGGGTTTGCAGGGGCAGCGAAGTCCTCTCTGATCAGGTCAGGATCGCCTAACCGAATGGCGAGGGACAAGATCGATAGAGCGCGAATGAAAGAAATCGACTCACTTATTCCAAAATAGTTATCGTGAGTGTCGAAGTGGATGGGCCCTGTAAGATGGCGCGGTTATTCTCAGCTGGCTTTCGGTAGCGGGAAATGCGACCTACATTGTGAACGGCTGCAATTAGGGTCTTCACCACCATTACATCTCGTCACGGTAGCTGGGGATGCTGAAAAAAGATATAGAGTACATCAATTTCTACGGGAAGAAATGCAACAGGCGAAAGAACACTTACCCGGATCTTTGAAGTTCCAGTACTCCGTACCGCTGAGAAGGGCGTCGACGTTTAGAAGAAAAGGGAGCTCCGATGGGGTTAGACTTACAAATGTCGATATCCCGTAATTCGCAGGAAAATGAGCGGCACCGAATCTACAACGAAGAAACTAGTGTAAAACGGAAGGAGATTACTCATGAGGCGACTGTGATGCTTACCAGTTGTATGGACGACTCGGAAGACGTTGTTTACTCCTATCATCTTTTCTAGGTATGATGCAAAGTTGGTGTTACCCACTCTTGGTTGTCCTGTCACCAGTCGATCCAACTTCATGAACCCAGAAGCACACAATCCACGAGCCAAAGCACAACATACCATACGTATACAGCACGACATTGGCCTGCGGCAGCGCTGACTTCACCACAAGCGCACCAAGGGACGCAATGGCGCCACCCAACGAGTGTCCGGTGAGGACGATCCGATAGGAGGGATACTGTGAAGTTTGCCATGACACAACTCCCAGGACGTCTTTACCAACGGCATTGAAGCCAGACATGAAGCCAGAGTGGGCTGTCGCGAAACCAACGTTACTCAGGCCGGGTACCCAGTGTAGGGATTTCCGCCAGATCAGTGCATCTAGGTGTCGATCGAGAGGTCTGCCAAATGGCCGAAGAGAGAGGAACCTTTGGCTCACCCTTGAGATAATCAAGTTTACTCTCAGTGCCACGGAATGCTATGATTATCTCTTTTTTGTTGTCGTCCCGGGCGATGAAGGCTTGGGTCCCGTGGTTGGAGAGCTGGCCGTAAGTAAAGGACATGAATTTGTCAAAGACTCCGACGCAGTCAAAGGCAGCAGAGACTCACCTCTCGAATCAAAGTGTGTCCCAGGGGTCGTCGGCAGTGATTCTGATAAGCCGCGGACGAGTATTTCGCGTACAGTACAAGCTTGTCATACGTCTGCTGGTCAATTCCTTGGTGCGTCGCCCTCGGCTGAAGCTCTTGGTCTGCAGAAAGGGGCGACGCAAAGGCGATCAACCAGTTGAGAGTAGCTGTGATGAAGAGCACAAAACGCATGGGTAACAGAGACGTAATGCCTGGGGCCAGAGGAGTAAGTCTTACCCTTTTATACCGGCATAGACGCGATGAGAGTAATAATTCTGGCGTTACACAGTTCTCTAGTCATGATCATCGATCTTCTTTCAGTCAAAGGTGAGCCTGGTGACATCCTGGCTTTGCATTCATAATGAACATTTTGTCCAGCAGCTGATTATGCCAGCATCGAGAGTGGATACATTGCAGAAAGCCTGGTTGTCAGTCATCGGTGGGAATGACATTGGTCTGTGCAATTCTGACTCAATGATATTGAGTTTCTTTCACCACACAAATCTTTAAGCTCATTCGAAACACAAGAAAATTTGATCTCAACCGGGAATTCAATATAGTACATTCAGGACAAATCCACCCAACAGCCAAGCTAGTCCACAACCATGGCCGAATTCTGCTTCTCGTCTTCAGACCTGGTTGGCACATGCTCCTGTACCTTTTCCAGCACCATATCCTCCTCTTCCTCCTCTATGACTGCATCCTCCACTTCATTCTCATCAGCCCGAAGCCATGAATCATTGAACCAATCATATGATTCATTGTTAGTTCTCCAGAAGGGCTTCATGCGTAGAACCATTGAGATGCTGGATGGTCGAGGATGGTCCGGAACCATATCAGACAGCTGAAGAAGTAATTCATATATACTCTCCACAGCCTCATGAATGCATCCATAAACCTCAGCTGTGCAGCCATAGAAACAGAGAGAGTATCGAGGGTGAATTGCCTTGGGGGTGGCACGAGAGGTGATTCTGGTCGGTGGTTGATGAGCTACAACGCCTATGCGAGGGGGAGACACTTTGTTGCTTGTGGAGACAGAGTTTTGATCTAAGTGTTCCTGGACGAAGGCAGATTTCGTGTCGCGGAGTTTTCCGACCCCAAGCTCCATAACCAGCGAGATATAAGGTCGGCTGAAGTACTTTTCTGACTCAACACCCATCTTCGTCTTCATGCAATCGCGGGACGATCCTGGGGGAGGAAACAACCCAATTTTCTTCGCATCAATTTCATAAGAACCTTTCTTGGATCGAAGTTTGATTTGTACAAGGATGGAGGACATGTTGGCCTCGGTGATCGGTTTGTCGATGTCAAGAAGAATGGGAATGCAGACATCAACCGACTTCTGTGACGACCAGCCAATGAAGCTCATTGCTCGGACAAAAGCAGCGCAAGCGGCTGACGTAGTAACTGCTCCGTCATCTGCTGCCCGACCAAAATGTGTGAACCGAACCCAAGATCTCGCAAAGGCCTCCTTCAGGGGCTGTCCTTCGGAAGCTAGCAGGTTGTTGGGCTTGCAGTCCAATACCAGTTCCTGGAACTTCCTCCCAGTCAAGCTTTTCAAAAATGTCACCAGGGAGCAGCCCGAGCTCCAGTTGGTGTTGCCATAATATTGCATATCGGCCGCCTTCACGGCGGTCATGTACGCACGAACGAGTATCATTTTTGCAACATTCTCGCCTCGTTGACCCATATCAATTGCGCCCTTTGTTTTCCCACCATCGAGGGAAGAGAAGAACTCGGCCGCCGCATCTTGAACCAGGCTCTTACTTGCACTCTCGGTGAGGTACAGTGCCTGCATGGCCGCATCTGCTAGCACAGGCTCCGACGGATAACCTGTGTGCAGATACTCTCGATGTATCGGGGCAGAATAGGCAGTACGCATATGGCTGGAGATTAGGTCCTCCATCAGCGAAACTGTTTGAGCTCTGAAAGGGTGGAACTCCAGGTTTAAGATGGTGTCGAGGATAGCCAGCTTTGCATGCAAGTTCAAATCTGAAATGCGGGGCGAGTTGGTCAACTTTTGCAGAGCAAAGATCCTGATTTTTGCATGAGGAGGAGATTCTGGAGACCTCTGCTGAGCTGCTTCAAGCATAGACCAAAATCTGATTTGGCAAGTGAGATGAGCAGTGGATGAATGACATTAGACAGAGATACGCACAAGGGACGCCCAAATCGGGCAATGAAGCTGAAATCCTGCACGTCCTTGAGAGTCAACTCCCCCTGAGACGACACCGGCAATGATGGATGACAGTCAAAAGGCATTTCAGTGTAGGGGGGTATGAGATCGCCGGCCACAACGGTCCTATTAGAGCGCGTGATTTTGGTTAGGGGGGCAAGTTGGCCCATCCGTGAAACTGTAGAGAGGAACAAAACAAAGAAGCTCCCATCGTACTCGGATACGGCCATGGTGAAGAGGTCGTAGAGTGTTAAGTTGCGACTTGAGTTTATGGCCCGGACGTCGAGCTCGTGGGCTTCATCAACATACATCACAACCGACAACGGAGCTTTTCCTTTAGCAACTGGGATCCGCCTAATGAGCGCCTGCAGGGCTATTACTGCATCGCTCTTAGCTGACGATGGTAGGTCCATTTGGAATCGTGGCTCGACATCACGAATAACGCTGGAATAGAGTTCGGACCTAACACCACCCTCCAGCAAATGCTTTCGCCATTGAGTAGCAAAATCTTGGGCTTGGATGTCCGAAGCCCAGTCAGTGGAATTCAGTTCTGCCACAATCCGTTCGAACAAGGTGCAAAAGAGCATGTGGAACATCGTCACTACGTCGTCGTCAGAAGTCGCTTTGGCCATTGACAGTATCGACTTCGCAATGCATGTGTCTGGAAGAGGGTATGCGCCTGTTCGGACAGTTTAATGGTCAAGAACGAGGACTCGAGAAGCGACGCTACATACCTTGTTGAGTTTCAGCTTCGGCCCGAAGGTTCATTGGTATAGTGAACACAAGCTTGGCAAGCTCGTCGACCGTACGAGACTTTCCGTATCCAGATGACTGGATGATGGCCCCAGTGTTGCAATAAGGCGATCTACGTGGATCGGATTCGATGTTGCTGAGCAGGGTTTGATGAGTTGATCCCTGGTATTCCTGGGTCCATGCCGCTTCAAGTTCTGGAGGCAGTGCTTAAGAAGTGAAACCATGGACAGAAAATGATTATGAGCCGAACCTTTGCGCAGCTCTGGCGAGAGTGAGGGAAGTCGCTGGTGGTTTCCAGTGCCTGGCATTGTTCGTCAAGGAGCAGCGAAAATAATACGCGATGCTCACCAGTGGGCGCAAGTGCAATAACATGGACTTTATCCTTTGGCAGATCCTTGAAGACGGCTGAGAGCTCTGCGAGCGGTGAGGAGAGCTCCTGTGCGGCGTCGATCTTTCTCGGATCTCGCGCTTGCTCCAGGTCGGCATCGGAAAGCGAAACCTTGAAGAGTCTTATTTCCATTGCATCGATACTCGAAAGTGCCTGCTTCTTTCCTTTGATAATGTCCTTGAGGATGCTGACATTCTCGTTCGAGGAGATCTTAACTGTGAATATCTTGTCAGGGTCGTCACCAGAAATAAGGCAGTTGATAGCGATAGTCGACATAATGGAGGTGAGAAGTAATTGGAGGTGGAGGACGTATCTGTCGAGGTACTGTAATCGCTAAAATTCGAGCAACATGTCACGTCACGACTCGGTGTTAGGTTTTGACTTTCCGCCCCATGCACGTGATCCATTAATTCTGATGTAACGCTTGAACAACTCCGCTCGGCATGTTGTCGGCTGGCCCGCCCATAGTTGCGTCGCTTCTTCGCAAAATACGGCACGCGATAAACACGAGTTTTTCTCCGCATGCTTAGCACCTCACAACAACAATACTGGCGTTCTGGCCCCATACCCCATAGTGAGGCCCAATCAATCCCATGGCTTGAATTAGATATTGACCATTTGTAGACATACTAATTCCTCCTCGGAGTCCACTACAGACAGCTTCTTCAGCTTCACTTGATGATGGTCTACAACTATATGACGAACTGCGCTCGGTTTAAAGTTCGGGGACGTGAAATGCCGCTTTCCACCAGCCTTCCACATGGGGCACAGGACCAGCGGACCGGACTCCGGTAACTTAAATAGGGGCTATTCTTCGACTCATCCACTACACCTTCCTCACGAGCGTCCACTTTCCCAGGTCTCTTTCGGACCCGCTGTATTCGCGAAAGCGCCACAAGGAGAATTGCAAGGCTCTGATCATTGACGCCCCCTCAAAATGCTCAGCGTAGACGAGGCGGTCTCCTTCCTCGACGAGATTAAGCTGCAGTTTCAGAGGGATCCGGGGAAGTACGACAGGTTTCTGGATATCATGCGTGACTTCAGGGGGAACGTGTGAGCTTAACTCTCTCTAATCGCTCTACTTCGATTATCTGAAGCCAATTTCTACAGTATTAGCACGCACGAAGTTCTCGTGCGAATTAGCGCCCTCTTCAACGGCTATCCGGAGCTCGTTCGAGGGTTCAACCAATTCCTGCCAGCCGGTTACAAGCTGGAGCCATCTACTGATAGTAGTGGGCGAAGCGCCGTATTGCTGAACACCCCGCAAGGCGTTACAATGTATCCGCGGGACTACGCCAGACGAGACTACTGATTCTTCCGGTCTCATACGTGTGTCCGTGTTCTCCCCCTCCGCGTATGAGAAATATACTCACGTGTATTCCTTCATAAGGGCGACTTAGTGCACCTTCTTGAGCGACTCTCCGCAGCTCTACTGACTTCCATTTATGCGACCCCTGGATTATTCATTTCTGTTCAGCATGACCTCCCCAATAATTCTCCCGCCTGCAAGTAGACCTTTCCATGCAAGGAAATAGTAGACCGTCTTATCAAAGCTTAGTAGTAGGAGATGATATGGCGTATGTCTGATATAAACACCCGGTTTCTAGCCGTATTCGTCGCTTGTTTTCCCGGGGCTGGCCTCCAATATCACACCTCTTGAGCCTGTCGCCGGTGTGCTGTTGCCGAAAAATAGAAGTACATGGTTGTACGCTCGGCTGGAAGCTATGGAACGCAATAGAAGCTCTGAAGCCTATCTCAGTGCTTAGAAAGTATTTCTCTCAGCCTATCGGTGCATTCCTGCTGGAATCCTCCGGACCCGGCCAGATTCGTCTTAAGGATCGGACCGGAATCTCCGGTACCATTCAGTCGCATAGCACAATGTCCGTGTCCTTTCCCTCTTCCTTCAACCAAGTCCATAAGAACATTTGTTTCCTGGCAGGTGCTGAGACATTACTGCCGAACTGACAGATGACACAAGGGAGTGAGGTTCGTTGTACATTTCTGAGGGCGTATTCACAGATTGGAAACGATGATAGAGGCAAAAACCTACTGGCTTGGTCGTCCTTGCAATATTTAAGACGCATGAGACTATTTCTAGGCCGTTAAACCACATTCGAAAAGTTCGCCGGAGAATTAAGATCGATTTCTCAATCTCATGAAGGAGGTAAAGGACGAACAATTTGTCCCTTCAAATTTCTATCTTCGGAATACTGATTTCTGTGCGCCATGCCGGTCAGGATCGATACGATAGAATCAAGCGAACATCCCAGCTATTCGGTGACAAAGTTATATTGATTTGAGATACAACGCGCTTCTGTTTCTAGCTTTCCGAGCGAATGTCGAGGCTGGGGATGTAGATGAGCGCTTAATCACCATCATTACTCCGGAAGGACGAGAAACGGCACCAACTTCTCGGGACAGCCAGTTAGTTGGTCTAGTGAGGTCAAACTGATCTCTGTAGAATCAGACACTAAATGATATCGTCTCACTGTCTGCGGTGTAATGATGTCAGACAACCCTTCGCATTTAAATAACATCGTGCCTCCCACTGGTAGCTTGCGTCTACATATTGTCTGAACGAGGAGGTGCTTGTTTCTGAATTGAATTATTTCAGTGTCTCGATATCAAATAATTCGAGATAAGTTCGCACTGTACTTAGCCAGATCTTCGAAAGTTCACAGCCTCACCCTGTGTTGTAATAGTCCGAGGAGAAAAGGTATAGTCCGCTTACACCGTGTCCCAGGCGAACTGGTCTTCCTGCCGTCAGTTCCAAGACGCACGTACATCACCAAAAATGCGCGTCGGTTATAACCGACCATAAGTCACGACAAGTCATTTTTTTTTTTTTTTTTTTTTTTTTTTTTTTTTGAAGTCTTCCACGTAGGGTGTATTTTAGACGTACTCCAAATACACAAAAAATAGGGTGTTCGATCACAGTCCCTTGGAGGTAGGCTACACCTAAACGACCCTCCTCATCATCCCATCCCTCGACCCGCCGCCTTTGGTTGAAGCCCCATTGGGTGCCGAAGCTTCCAGCTGTTGAGACAGTTGGTGAGAGCTGACCAGTTTCCTTGCGGTTCGCCGAATCTAAACAATCAAGGGCTTCATGGTGTTAGTCCTTCCCAGCATTGGGCGCCGAAGCTTCCAAGCCGTCAGTCGCCTGCATGGTTGGTGTGCCGGGCCAACGCCATTGACGGGGGCAGCACATGTAGGTGCTAAGTACCCCTAACGAGATTGGATGGTTTGGAAGTGAAATGTTGAAACGAGTGACTCTGCCTTCCACTATGCCTTCCGCCCTCTGATACAACCCCACCCGCTTTCCTCCCCCATTTCCCAAACCCTAAGGCACGCATCCTGTAGCATCCCCCTACCATGCGAAGGCGGTCGAATATCTAGTGTTTCTCCCCAAGGGGTGTAGCCGGATCATAGGCAACACGGCTGATGATCGGAAACTAGCCTCCTCCCTCCATGGGTTGCCTTCCATGACTAGGTTGCGCCCCCGAAAGGTCTGCGCGAAGCAGAGCAAGACGGTACACGGGCTGCCTGTCAAGTAGGGCCATCAGTTGCGCTTTGAGGTTGTTGTAAACAAGGTCTTCGGGCCTCCAACAAAGCGATTGGGATACAACCACGCCGAAGTCGCGATCTTCTCCGATAAATAAGAAAAGGTGTTGGTTTAATGAATAGATAAGGAATCAGGCAATGAGTGGGGCCCGATGGAGGACGATGCCGATTAATGAGAGGAGTTCGGTAGTGTAGAGCGCGGCCATGGTGGGGGCGACGAATTCCCACGGCCGGATGGTGATGGTTCAAAATCAAGAAGCGTCGAGTCACGACAAGTCACGGCAATCTATAATAAGCACCGGGAGGCTCGTACTGGTCTTATCTTTACTGGGCTCCTCATATAAGCCACTATAATTATTGTGTGTCATGCATGAGTTGTAGTGCTTATAGGCTGAACGGGCTTATAGGGCCGAGAAAATTATATGAATCCCCAGTGAATATAAAGGATTATAGGCCTTATAAGCCCTCAAGTGGGTTATAAGAGCTGAGCAGTCATATGCGGCCTGTTGTCGTGTTTCAAAGCTCATAATTATCAGACAGAGGGAATGCGCAAAGGTAATAAATTCAAAGTTCTACGTTACTGTACACGTGTAACTACGGTATATGCAGAATGGACACGCACAGCAGGTCAGAGCTTTACTCGTTTGGCTGTAGACCATGTGAATGTTGATGATTTGAATGAAACTTCGATGCCGCGCTGGTAGTCAGAATAACTTCGGTTAATGAACGCACTCAAGAATGACTATATGCGTACCTTGCGATCAAAGCAAGCGCATATATTGACAAAATTGCTGTCTGAAGAAGTCCTTGTTAGCGAGGATCCATGAAAGAAAAAAGGTACTGATCCACCTACGAAGGCTACCTCTTCCAGCTTGATCTGAAGGTTTGAGATGTGCCATGATTGCAACATTGAATGTATGCGGTCGGCTTTGTCCGGTATCCTCCTATGTCTGATTTATGGGGTGAGTATGAAGCCGCGAAGACAACTTGACATATTCACCAACGGCAACTTGACCTTTCCAACTGCATACAGTGAGACAACACGTCCGAGTGGATACTATGACAGCAGCGGCGAAGCCTAAAGGACATAGAGAGGGTGATAAAATACACACAACATAGTGAAATAAACGTACATGTCCATGTACGACCCAGTCCTTAGCTTTATACCCCACAGGCGCACCGACAAAGAGGCTGGCCTCCTTCAGCAAGAGGTCGATGCTACAGAGCCGCTAGTGCAGCAGCGAGAGCAAAGGCTGACCATATTGCAAAAAGAGACTTAATCTCTGCATAGAAGCCCTGACCGACGGCGCTAAGACAGGATTGCCACATGTGGTGGTTGTGGAAAGAGACAAAGGCAAGGGAGAAAAAGCCAGTGCGGGAAAGGATCTTTATATCGGCCATCGCCGAATCTTGACGCGTCAGCTCACATGACCGTGCCTTCAACGAATTCTGACTCTTGTCAAGTCTCCAACATCTCCAAGTCGTGCCCCCTACCCCCTACGAGTTCGACTCCTGGATCCGTTCTATCCTCCCTTCTGATGTTGCACAGTTTCCAACAATGAGACACCTAAACTCTTCACCGAACATCGGCTACAGGCCCAATGATTGAGGCAGTGAACTGCATACACTGCTCTTGTGAGAAGTGAGACTCTGGATGCAAACCTGGGACCGCAGCTCGCCTCTCTATCGCAACCTCGCCTCCACCCTTTCCAACTTTTATTGAGTATTGATTAATGACTCTTCTGACTCCCTATAGGATTATACAATAGGCTTAGGGAGGCTGTTGCTGCAACGCCCTCCCTCTTTTGATCGGGATCCGAAGCACATCCCTCGGAGGGGTAAGCTTCAAAATGAAACCACAGATCCAGGACTCTGGACTCATGCCCCTTCAGATCCTCTCTTCCTTCACCACAGGGCTACCGGCGTCATTGCACTTGGCACCTCAGGCATGCGCTCTCTCTAAGTTGCGCCGTACATTGCCCAAATGCCATCAACGACATTGGGAAGTTCTAGACCGAGGTGTAGGTAAGTAAATTGTTCTCCTTCCGTATCGTGCATTGCGCCCACACTGTAAAAATGACGTGGCGGGTATATAATGGGCGAACAGAAGGCGAGGTGTGTAATTTGTAGATGAGGTGGGCAGCGTAGGTGCTCGAGAGAGACGCTCTGGGGTCCTCCCTCCTATCATAAATCAACTGCGTTATGTGAGCAGTCCTCCCTCCGTCGCTCTCACGTGTCGAGACTCGAAGATGTTCTCGTTCAGTCACAGGCCGTGAAATTGCCAGCACAGGCCAACTCAAACACCAAACGACGAGCAACCAGGCCTCTGCTCACAAACGGTGTGGTTAGCATGAAGACACATAAAGGCCCGTCGAATGCAACGAGCGAGTCGTTGCAGCTGCAGGATCGTACTGTTCTAGAGCTACTTTACCAATGACAATAGAGGCGCTACTAGGTGTGTTGACTTACACGTGTTATGGGACCGATGAGCACAAGTCAGACGCAACAACGTGCGGGAAAGGTGGCAAATTTAAAAGTGGTTAGGAGAGCGCAGTAGGGAAGCCAGCTGATTGACGCCGAGAACGCGCCCACAATACATTTGTGGTCACAAAAGTATCATACGAAGCTTATACGTTGACTGATGTCTCGCGCTCTCATATAAGAAGCCTATAATTCACCCATGTCCATGCAATTCTACGTCCGGGGCATGTAACCTGTCACCAGACGTGTGACACCCTATATGCACCATGAGCCGCGGACATTTTTGGTGATGGAAAGATTCGGACAATGCCAATGGTGCCTGCCTCGAGGCAACCCAAATACAGGTCAATAATAATGCCTGTGCCCAGTCAACGTGTGCAGCATGTTCTCCGTAGCTCGACATCTCTCTTCCTTTCCACCACCTAGTTGCTCCAATCACTGGTGGAAGATCGTTTTTCCAATGACATCCTTTCGCTTTCACCCAATGCGACGCTAGACTTCGCTGGTGCGCTATATTTGGGCGCTTAATACCTCGGTGTTGAATGACAGTAAGTCGGTATGAGTTCGGATGGATAAAGGCCAAGGCTGTATGATACACGGAATGTAGAATAAGTGAAGTCTCGATGCATGAATCCGAAAGCTAAGTCCTAGGCGAGACGCGTCACAGATCATGTGATCGTGCAGTCACCGTAAACCAACGTCGCATCGTAGCCAACCTCTCCCTCCTACATCTCCCCCTCACTTTAAAAATCAACCATCCCTGGTTGCCAACCACCCCGGTTCCCGAAACACTCAAACCTCCTCCAACTCCGTCACCTTCACTACCTTCCTGCCACGAGGGTAATAAGGAATCAACCGAAACGCAGCATACTTCAACTTCGACACAGCCCCATTCAGCTCGGCGAGGCGATACGAACCACCTTCAGAGCGCCTGATGACGACCATGGGACCATAATAGCGAGGTTTGCCCTTTCGGCCAACATCAGGTTCGATTTTCTTGTTCAACACCAGCACGAACTCCCCGGGCTGAAAGTCGTAGTCGATCAAGACGTTCTCGTGTCGCCTTTCGAACTCGGCAGCCGAAGCAAAGCGAGCCTTCAAAACACGTTTCTGCATGGCTGCGATGTCGTCGTTTCGTCATTCAAGCTGTCGTCCACGCATAGCAAGCAACTCGACCTCGGTGATGAGGGATTTCATTGGTGGTAGAAGGAACGTTGCATGGGTGATGTCGAACGGTAAGAGAGGTTCCAGGTGTGAAGGTGAAAACCCTGTAGATTTCCTCGTCGTAATGCGCTCTGCCCAGAAGACGTATGGCAGGCGTTCGTGCCACTTTCGAATATCACCGTCGCCGGATTTGATGAGTGCGCTGCGGACTGGCTGGTGAGCAGCCTCGACGGTGCCATTCCTGAAATCTGAATGTGAATGTGGCTGACATTGTACTTCCCCTCTAGCCACGCCAATGCCTTGACGAAAGGAGTCCCATTGTCCGTCACCATCTCCAACACTGACCCCCACCTCATCATGATCTTCTCCAACAAAAACCTTCCTATCGCTTTATGGTTCTCTTTCCTCAACATCTCAAACTCCGGCCAACCCGACAAGTTATCGCGTGCTTGGACGACATATTTGTAGCCTCCCGACTTCGGCAGATGCATTGTGTCAATGTGACATTTTTGGAACAATCCCGGCGGACTTATCACGGTAGGTGGGAGCAACACGGCTTGCTGCGACATTAATTGACACTCGTGGCATGTATCCAGAAACCACTTGATGTCTGCATCCATAGTTGGCCAGTAGAAGCGTGTCGCTACCTGTTGTCTCGTCGGATAGAAGCGCTTGTGGCCGAGTTCATCATGAGCCGTCTTTAGCACCGGGTAGCGGC